TGGGGGAACCCCTTAACTGCAGTTCTCCAGTGACCAGCAGGTGGCGCTGTTGGCTGACGCTCCCTCTCCAAGGAGCTGTCTGTCACAGGGAAGTGCCAAAGGAGAGCTCCACCCCAAAACGAAGCAAGGCCTCTTGGTGTAGGTACCCCCTCGTGGTTACACCACCACAACTGGAAGAGCTCTGCCGCGTTTTTTTCTGGCACCCAGCGGGTCTGCCACTGGTGTGGGTGTGGCTCCTGTCTGTCTGCGTGGTCCCTAGTGCGCTGTGCTCTGAGGTGCCCTGCTTCCCCACCTCCACCATCTCAGCAATTCAAAATGCACATGCCTTAATTCATTACTTGTTCTTATCCGGGTATTGGTTGTAGACACAAACTGGGCTAGAATTCTGGTGACTGGGCGTGGGAAGCTGAGTGTGGGGTGCGATGTTCTCTGCCATTTTGCTCCCTGCGAGAAGGTGCAGCCATGGTGGAAGTGTGTCCTGCTTTCTTGGTGCTGGACCCTCCTACATTTGCTTCTCCCTCCTTGACGTCTTCAAGGCACTGGACTTCAGGATATTGCTCTTTGCTTTACTTGGCTGGCCTCTGCTTGATGTCTCCAGCTGTCCCTCTCCTTCCCGGGCTCAGTACAGCCCTGGGCTGTCCTCTGCCCTCTAATTGTTCCCTGGATCAGCGCTGTTGCTGGCATTTTGTGTCAGTTTTCTCTGCTGCAGGCCTTGCTGTGCCAGGTGTTGAGCACTGCTGGCCCCTTTGTACTATTCTGCAAGATCATTTCTCTGTTCTTGTGAAATCTGTAATGTCACCTATTTCCAGATGCTTCCTGGGAAACACTGCTCCGAGGGTCCCCTGCCGTCCCCTGGGGTCACGCATATCCTGTGTGAAATAGCCCAATTTACGTCTCCACCCTGTCTTTCCCCAGGCAGCTGGCCACTGTCTCCCTTGCTGTTAACTGGACATGCTAGCATGAAGCGTTTAAAGGGGAGCACCTGGCTCCCTGCCCTTGCCTTCCCCACTTCCCCCGGTCCTCCCACCTGGGACCAGGCTGTCTTCTCAGAGGCTGTGCCCACCTCATCAGCAACCCTGCCCCCCTGCCTGTCGCCTCTCTCTTCCCTTCCTGGCTGGTTCGGGTACAGCTTTTACAGCTGCATTAGTGTGAAGGAGAGGAGTTCAGGGAAGAGTCCCTGCTCAGGAGCCACTGCCAGCCTCAGCCCCTGCCCAGAAGAGAAGGGGCCTGCTGCAGATAGGACGTGTTGTGCCATCCCAGGGCAGCTGTCGCCTCTTCCTGTCCCTTTGCATTCTTGGACAGTGTGGCTTTTTGCTTGTGTTTTGGAATGTCTGTACTTGTGTGTTGTGTACCTGGGCCCTGGCTTCACTTGGCAGCAACACTGTGGGCAGTTGTGGATCGTTTATTTTCATCCTTGTCCCATGGTATGAAGACCACAGTGCGCCGATCCCTCCTGGTAGGTGTCTGGGTGCTGTTTCCGTCTTTTGCCTTGGAGTAACCTGCTGTGGGGCCTCTTGGAGCTGTGGCTGGAGCGTGCTCTCATTGCTGCGGAAGGCCGAGGCTGGAGGGGGCACTCTTCACCCCTGCCCACGGCGTTCGCTCAGTCTTCGCTTTGGCAGTTGGTGCTTCTGGTGGTGCCATGGCTGTCCTGTGATTTCAGTTGGCATTTCCCCAGGTTAATGTGCCATGCTCCTTGCTGTGTGTCTAGGCCACGTACTTTTTTTTTCTTTCTTTTTTTGGTGAAATGCTAGTTCAAGTCTCGCTTCTTTTTTCTTTTGGGTTGTTTTTGAACTTGGAGTGCTTTACCACTGAGCCACATCTCCAGTCCTTTTCATTTTCATTTTATTTTGAGACAGAATCTCGCTAAATTTAAGCAACTTAGGGCCTCCCTAATTGCTGACACTGGCTCAAACTTGCGATCCTCCTGCCTTAGCCTTCCAGATCACTGGGATCTTAGGCGTGTGCCACTGTGTTGGGTTTGGGTCATTCATGTTTGTAAGTGTTTGTAAAGCATTCTTGAAACATTCTGGACACTGCCTTTTGTGGGTCATATCTGTTACAAATTTCTTCCTCTCTGGGACTTGCCATTTTCCTTAAGGTATCTTCTGATGTCAGAAGTGCTTGGCAGGGACTTTTTTCAAAATATATTTTTAGTTGTAGATGGGCACAGTACATTTATTTTATTTATATGTGGTGTTGAGGGTGGAACTCACACGTGTTAGGCGATCGCTCCACTGCTGAGCCACAACCCCCCCACCGTCCTGGGCAGGGGTGTTTGCTGTGCCCATTCTTCCTTTTATGGCTGCTGTTCCTGGTGTCGACTTTACTGTTGGTCCTGTGAAGAAGTCTGTGTGAAGAGCATGAAGAAACTCTGCATTATCATCCTGAGATTTGTTGTTTTAAATTTCACAAAACAACAAATTAATTTTGTGGGCAGCTTTATTGAGATAAAATTGATGCATAATAAAATGTTGGGTTTGAATACATAATTCATTATATAGTCATCATTACAGTCACACTGTAGAATACTCTGTTGCCCCTAATGCCCCTTTGTGCTCTTTTGCCATCCCTTCCCTTCTCTCTGTTCTCTGGCAACATTGGCTTTGGTTTTTACAACAGGTAGAGACCCATAATTCAGAAATCTGGAGTCCTAGATGCTCCAGAATCCCGAGCTGAGCAGGTGTTGGCTGAGCCCAGGCATGTTTGATAGGGGTGCTCGCCCTGTGCTGCTGTACTTTGCTTTTGCTAGAATTTCATGTAAATAGAACACAGTCTTTTGTGTCCCACTTGTTTTACTTAGTGCTTTTGTGAGGTGTCTGTGTTTTTTGTGTTGGTGGCCTGTTCGTTGTCCTTGCTGTGTGATGTTTTGTCATTTGGATGTGCCATTCTTTTGCTCATTTACCAGCCAGTGGATATTTGAGGAGTATCATTTGGGGGCTGTTGGGAATAGAGCTGCTGTGAACTTTCACATAAGCTTACGGGGACACGTGGCACAGGAGAATTGGGGGTCTTAACTGAGCTTCACCAGAAGCAGACTGTTCCCCAGAGCTATGCCAGCTCTTCACATTCCCTGCACATGACATCCAGCTACTAAACTTGCCAGTACTTAGTATTGTTGGTCTTTTTCAATTTTAGCCGTTTTGGCAAAATGGAGATATTTATCACACTAAAGAGACTGTGCTGTACCTCATTGTGGTTTTAACCTGCTTTGCCTCATGGCCCACAGTGTTAATATCTTTTTCTGTGCCTGTTTGCTATGGTCGCTCAGTCTGCTGGGCCAGGGAGCTTACTCGGGAACGTTGATCTTCATACTTCTGGAGGCTGGGACGCTGAGGTCCAGGCACCACCCTAGGCTGCTTTGGGACTGAGTCAAGGGGCTGTTGGGAAGGGTCTGCTTCTGTTCCCTCCGGCACTCTAACTCTTGCTGGTACCACCACCTATTGAGACTTGAGCTTTAGAGGAAGCCTGGGCAGGGTGGGGGTGGTGGGGGGCCGGTGGGCGGGCAGGCAGGCAGTGTTTCCTTCTCTTTAAAGTGCCCTGGCTGCTCTTGGTCATTCACATTTTCTTGTATCTTTTAGAATCATCTTGTCAGATTTAAATGGGAAAACTTGCTGGGATCTTGACTGAAGTTGCATTGAATCTACAGATTCAGTTTGAGGAGATTGATGTTTTTAATCTTATGAATGGAATACAATCCCCATTTATTAAGCTCTCCTAGAACTCTTTGTTCATGTTTCCTGCTTTGGTAGGGATCTTGTATATCTTTCAAAAACTTATGTGTTTTCCATTATAATTTCCATTACATAACTCATTTTTTAAACCTGCAAATAAATAGAAAGACTATCCAGTTACTCAGTGTTGACCTTACATCTCACAACTCTGCCACACTGTGTCAGTCTGTTTTTCATTGCCACAACGAGAGAGAGAACTTTACAAAAAAGGGGGGTTTATTCAGCTCACACTTGGAGATTTAAAGGTACAGGATCTTTTTTTTTTTTTAATTTTTAATATTTATTTCTCAGTTTTCGGCGGACACAACATCTTTGTTTGCATGTGGTGCTGAGGATCGAACCTGGGCCACACGCATGCCAGGCGAGTGCGCTACCGCTTGAGCCACATCCCCAGCCCCAGGATCATTTTTTAAAAAATTATTTCTTTTTTAATGTGGGGCAGAGGATCGAACCCAGTTCCTCTCATGTGCTAGGTGAGTGCTCTACTTCTGAGCCACCACCCCAGCAGGATCTGCAGCACTGACTCTGGGAGGGCGGTGGGTGGCGTCACATGGTGGATGGCACTGGCTGGAGCATGTGCCTGATGGCTGGTATGGCTCTAGCAGGAAGCCAGAGTGGAGGGCAGTGTGCTAGACCCCCCCATGGGTCCCCCTGCAGTGCCACCCCTGGGACCAGACTTCAGCACCTGGGCCCTTGGGCACTCACCAGCTTCAAACAACAGCACAAATGAAAGTGAGGCCAAGGTTGAAACAACCCGTGGTGGCTTCACAGTGGCCGCACAGGTCTGTCTTCAGCAGTCCCCAGACCTGAGTTGTGGGGCGCGGGCAGGGCACCGTCTTATGTGCTTGCTGTCTGTCAGTGCTGGTGTCTGGCTGTCCACCTGCAGAGCCTTTGCTCTACTTGGTGTTGTCAGGGTTGTCTGCTTCAGAGAAGTCTGTGATGACTTAGGGTGACAGAAACCCATGTGGGTGGAGAAGAGTAATGTGCTGTATTAGACTCCTGAGCTTAAGTCCAGGTGGCAAGGAGGAGTATCCTGGAAGGACAGTTTACTGCCTTTGTTCATAACATGCAAAGGTTGGTGGCTCTGAAATTGTTGTGTTTATGTGGAGGACTGTTCTCAGTCCTGTCGATATGGTGACCGCACTGGCGTTCACTTGGGGCAGACAGAACTGTTCTCTTTCTAAATGTGTTCTCTATAACTCACAGTCCTACACTTTGTGAAAAAGGTTTTTAGAATGTTTCATAATGTTTTGCTTTTTCATTTTATAGAATTAACCCTGAATCCTCCAGAAGGAATTGTGGCAGGTAAGGTACTTAAGTAACTTCCTCATATAGTTTTCTTCTAATTGCCAGAGTTGTCTTCAAAATTAAGATGTGGTGGACTTTTTTTTCTCTTCTCCTGCAGGTCCCATGAATGAAGAGAATTTTTTTGAATGGGAGGCGTTGATCATGTAAGTTAACCATGTCTTGCTGATGTCTGGTGCTTCCTGGGAGCTGGACCTCAGTGCTACACTCTGCAGAGCGCTGGCTCTGAAGCACTGGGCAGGCAAGAAGGCCCAGTGGGTTTGACACGGTCAGCTCCTCTCCAGCTCTGACCTGAAGGCCGAAGACAACAGGCATCGGGCAGAAGGCACCAGGTGTTTCCTTAGAACTGGTGGAAACCTTAGTTGTCTGAGTGCTTCCTGTTTGTTGTTGGGAGATATTAGTATGGTTCTGTCAGGAAAAACAATGGGCCTTGTTTTTCCCTCTGCTCTCATGTCACAGTCAACACAGAAGGCTCTAGTGACCCCAGACAGGATGGGTATTTCTCCCCTCCAGTGAGCATTCAGTTCTCAGTGGATACCAGCTGGATGCCCTCTAATTTTATTCATTTCAACACCATCTGCCTAGGGCTGCGTCATGTCCCACAGGTTGAGCACTTGGGCCCCAGCGGGAGGCATCGCCAGCTACTGGACCAGCCGTGCTGTGGTTGGGTACGGTGTTAGGGTTCTGCCTGTGTCCCTTTGCTCCTGATGATCTGTGTGCTCGTCTGAGAAGTCGATGGCTGCTGTGGTCGGGAGGGTTAGGTGATAGGAGCTTCGATGTGAGAGTGAGGGCTTAAAGGATGGTCACTGAACACACTCTAGAGACTGCAGTGCGGCAGACGCTTCCTGGTAGTGCAAGGCCCTGGTTGCTTGGGTTACGGGTTAAAGTGTTTGGAACTAATGTGTGGTGCATCGTCTCCCTTCATCCTTGGGTCTAGCCAAGACCCCAGTGGACAGTACCAAACCCTGTATGGACACTGCCTTTTCCTGTACATGTCCATATTAAGTTTATAAGTGAGGCAAAATAATAATAGTAAACAGAACAGTTATAACACTGGTCTGTAATAAAATTATTTAAAACTTAGAAATTGTTTGTTTCTGGAATTTACCATTTCAAGTTTTCAGACTTTGGGTAACAGAATGCAGATAAGGGGAACTACTCTCATGTCTGTTGCCCAGGCAGCCACGGGTGGTGGCAAGCCCATGCAGGTGCTGTCCTGCAGTTGGTGGGCTGTGGTGCTGGCCCGTGTCAGGTCAGCTTTGTTTACATTTCAAGAAGCCATAGATCGTGTATGTGTGAACCCATGTGTGACTTGCTTGTTTCATCTGCCATGTGCTGTGTCAACACAGACGCACCTGCACGGCATTCACAAGCTTCCGCCGCCCCCCCTCCCCGCCCCCCTGTCCCCCCCCCCAAGCCTGCCGCAGGGTGCGTGTGTTGTTAGGAGACCTGCTGGAGTGCAGAGGTCAGAGGCACCTGAAGGTTCTGTGGCACTCAGGAGGTGCTGGCTTATGTGCATCCATGGTAGGCATGTTCAGAAGCTCGTGAGGGAACAGTTGAGCCTCCAGTGTGGATTTTAAAGTGTTCATTGTTAAAATCTGTTAGGGTAACTACCACTAATTTTAGATAAACAACATAAAATTAAACTAATATTTTGAAAACCTGCCTTAAAAAGTAATTAGAGCCATTTTTAGGGAGAGTGTTTTTGTGTTTGAATAAGGCTTTTGCATTCGTGTGGAATTCCCCTGCTTGAAGATCTGGTTAAGTTTGTGGGTTTTGGTCCTATTCCAGACCCTTCACAAACAAGAGGCCGTTTACAGATGTACTTAAAACATCTATTATGGGAGTTAACTGTCCTCCGTGATTCGTCTCACCTGCTGTTTTGGCAGACGCCGGCTGTGCTCTTCCTATGGGTGATAGGTCCCCTTCTCCCTCTTTTTTGCTGCCTTCTAGGGCCTCCTGTGTACCTAGTGCTCTGAGGCCTCTGGCTTGTGCCCACACCTGCCTTCAGGCCTGCAGCTCCTCCACACTCTTCAGCTGGCCAGGCGATGCGACTGAGGTCTTTTACAGCAGGGCCCTTGTGCGCACATGCAGCATGGACCCAGATCTTCACCTCAGCACATAGGCTGATGGCACGGGCTGGGAACACCAACTAAATGGATAAGAGAGGGCCAGGTCATAAAGTTCCTGGCAGTGTCTGCAGTTAAAAGTGGAAGGTGGCTGAGCACAGAGCTGGCCGCTGCCCTGCTGAGTGTGGCTGAGACCATGGGCCACAGGAAGGCATGCACCCTGCAGCTGTGCTCGGGACTGGGCACTTGGCCTTTCCAGCCCTGTCTGGGGTCAAGATGGGCCCAGGATTCTTTGCATGGCTTGAGGTCTCTTCAGCCACTGGGTCAGTGGCTGGTGCCACCCTGTTGCCACTAAGCCTAGCTGTTGGGGTGCAGCACCTCTGTAGAACAGAGAGCAGGATTGGCAAGGTGGAAGTCATGGGCTCTCATATCCCGTTGTATCCTGCTCTGTGTTCCAGAAGCAGCTAGCTTTGGGGACCTTCCTGCCATGGGTTATCGCCGCCTCTCCTAGGTGGCAACTTAATGCTGGGTTCACAAAATCTAACTACTCCAGTTACTCAAGAAGACAACAAAGAAAGCACGCAGACACAGAAATACCTTTCCAATATTCCAGAGACAGCTCTGCGACCCTAAGGGTCTGTGGAGAGAGAGCGAGCCACTGGAATTTTTTATTCTTATATAGGGAACGCACAAGGGGAGGTTCCATGGAAAATTCTGTCCCAAAAAGGGCAAAGGGGTAGGATTACCAAGGAACAGGTGAGTGTAGCTCAACCTTCACAGGTGACGCCTATACCTGGAGCCACGCCTTGCTGTCCACGCTGGGACAATGCCCAACTTATGTGACCTGGCACTCTCATGCCAGACTGAAGGCAATAATTAGTGCCCCGGCATCAGGACTTGAAGATCTGCATCCAGGGCAGCTCCCGACAGTGGCTCACAACTGTATCCTCTCTAGGCCAGCAGGCTCTTGAGAAGGACCTTCCCTTTCCTGAAAGGTGGAGGTCCCTGTTGACTCTACCTTTGTGTTCCTGACACTGCCTTTGGGGCCCAGGTTCTCTAGCTGCCTTGCACAGTGAGCTCATGTTCCTAGCCTGTTGTTTCTCTTGCCAGGGGCCTGGCCTGGTCTGGTACTCACAGTATGATTCCTGTGGCTGTCTTTTATATGAGCACTTCTTGTACTTGGACTGCAGAGCATCTGGTGTCAGTGTGAGAAGACCCAGGAGTCGGCTTCTTGCAGCCTTCATGGCAGACGTTACAAAGAGGAAGCATTTCTGTCCAGCATAACCTGTGGCACCTCTCCACAGTGGGATGCCCCTGAGCACTGTGCAGGGTCCTGCAGTGTGTTTGTGTATGTGTGTGTAGAGCAGACCGCAGATTTGTGGGTCTCCGCCAGTTGTTTGATTTTTTTATTTCTTGAGGGTCATTTGGCAATGTCTAGAGATGTTTTTGGCCATCACCACTAGGGTGGGGGAACGCTACTGCAGCATCTAATGGTGGATCAAGACAGCCCACAGGGCCAGGACAGCCCTGGAGCAGAGCCGTCTGGCAGTGCCGAGGCCGGAAGCCCTGGTGTCCTGGTATCTTCTCTAGCAGCCTCAGGGATGTCTTTCCTGTGCCATAAGTTCTACCTGAACTAAGTGTGTTCGCCCAGAGTTGGGTAGATTTCTAGAATCTTGCGGCCATCGCTAGGTTGGTTCTCTAGCCTTTCCAGAGAGACCCTCTTACCTGCTGGCAGCCCCAGGCAAGTACACGCCTGCCTTCTGACTGTGGTGCCTTTCTGGATACTTCTGTGAGTGGGGCCATACTATGTCTGATGTCCCGTGGGGCTTCACTCACAGTGTGACTGGCCACCAGGGTCATGGCGGTCAGTGGCTCCTGTCTCCACCTCTGTTTTGTCCACTCACTGGACACTGTATGTTGGATTATCCTCACTTCTTGACTGCTTTGAACAATGCTGCTTTGAACACTGCATACAAGCCTTTGTCCAGAGGTTTCATTTCTTCTGGCTCACTGTGTAGGTGTCCAGTTGTTGGGATGTGCAGTGGAGGTTGATTTCCAGAAGCCACCAGGGGTTCCAGGAGCAGCTCACCATGGCTCACGCTGTGGGCAGTGGACCTGGGCCTCTACTGTCCCCTTCCCAGCACTGCGTGGTCTCACCAGAGCTGGCGTGGCCATGTGGAGCGCTGCTTCCCTGTGGACTTGACATACCTTCCCTAGTGTTTGCGGAGGTCCATTGTCTTCTCATGGACTCGATAGCCACTCATATGTTGCCTTTGGACTTCAGAAGTTCTGCCCATTTTTTAATTATCTGGTTTTCTTATATTTATCTACTTATTTTTGGTTCTAGGGATTGAACCCAGATGCACTAAACCACTGAACTATGTCCCCAGCCCTTTTTATTTATTTTTTTTAAATTTGAGACAGGGTCTCACCAAGTTGCCTAGGGCCTCACTAAGTTTATGAGGCTGGCCTCAAACTTGTGATCCTCCTGCCTCATCCTCCCAAGCCACTAGGATCACAGGTGTGTGCCACCATGCCTGGTCTTTTTTTTTTTTTTTCATATTAAGTCATAAGAGTATGTATTTTGGGTACAAGTAAATTGTTTCTTTTGATGACATGCAATTTAGCAGTTTTTTTTTTAAATGGGTCATGCTTTTGGTGTCATTCATAACTAAGGTTACAGAGTTGTTTTTTGTTTGTTTGTTTGTTTTTTAAGAAGTTTAATGATTTGTAGCTCTTGATGTTTAGTTAGAGCCATTCATAGTTGGTTTTGTGTGTGTTAGGTAGGGGTCCTTTCTTTTGCACCTGGAGTCCGTTTTCTTAGCACCCTTTGTTAAAAAGATAGCCCTCTCCTGTTGAGCAAATCAGGCCCTCTTATCAAAAGTCCCTTGAATGCAAGGTTTATGTTTGGACTCTGAGTTCTGTTGCACTGATCTGTGCTCCCTCATTGTGCCAGTGCCACAGTGTCTTTATTACTAGTAAGTCTTAAAACTGGGAAATGCAAGTCCTCTAGCTGGGTTCTTGTTCGGGTTCATTTAGGCTGTTCATGGCGTTGTGCGTTTCCATACACGTTCTAGGATCAGCTTGTCAGTTTCTGCCAACACGCAGGTGATCATTTTGATAAGGGATTTCCTTGAATCTTTAGATCACTTTGAGGAATATTGCCACCTTAACATTGAGCTCTTCAGTACATGAAGGTGGAATGTCTTTCCATTTAAATTCTCGGCAATACCATGATACCTTTTTTACCTTTAAGAGAGCCTGTTTTGGTGCTAAGGGCAGTGAGCTACACATAAGGAAAGCCTGAAAGAAGAATGGGCAGGTCACCTCATTTCCTGTAGGAGGTGGGGGAGGGCAGGGAGGGGAGAGAGGGTTTGCTTTTGGGTCTATATACTTCTGTATTTGAATATTTTCCAAGACTTACATATTTTTCTAGATAGATAAGGTTTATGTTAGAAAGTGATTATGTTATAATTCACCATAAAGTAATTGATTGATGCACTTTTGAATGTAGTTTAAATATTTTTAAAGTTTTTCAGGAATTTCTATTCCTGAAAAAATAATCAGGGTGTAGCTGTGTTTCCTTTTGGACAGGTTTAGTCATGAAAACAAGGGTATGGGATGATACGATCTTCGTTACCACCACTGTTTTCCAAATGGAAAGCTCCCTCCTCGTCTCCCCAGAGTTCTTGGCTTGGTTCCTTTCTAAAGTCACCTGGGGTGACCAAATCCATGCAGGGCACTGCTCCAGCAGAGGTTCGGGAGGGCCCTTTCCCCAGGTCACAGCTTCCTATAGCCAGCAGTGGGAAGATCTGGAGCAGGCGCCTCCCAACTGGGCTCCACACCCACATGTAGTCAGCACCCCTTAGCCCTGGCTGGGTCAGCAGGCAGGCCCAGTGCGGCTTGTGTGTGGCCTCCTCGGTCTGTGGCACTGGCAAAGGGGATGCCTGGTGACAGCCTTTGTGAACCACAGAGCCAGGGCTGAAGGGAGGTGGGCCTTCTGCTGGGTGCCGGTCGGGGTGAGGGGTGGGGAGGGGTGGGGTGGGGTGGTGTGGTTCTGTTGCTCAGGGTTCCCACTTGCAGAGCATAGTCGTCCCTTACTGGTGTAGTTCAGGTTCCCAGTAGTGACAACTGGGTATCGTCTCTGATATCTTAGCACCATGTTGTATGTGTGACCGAGGTGTTCTGTCCTGTGCTGTGACACACTTTGTGAGAGTGAGAGACAGCAGCCTCCAACACCTGCCTAACCTCCCGTCACAGGCAGACTGAGGGGGAAGGTGCTCGCAGCAGATGCCCACCCAGGCATGCTGGCCCCCTGCACCATCCACCCCACCCCCACCCCCGTGTGCAAGAGGTGAAAGCCCAGCACATTTGTCATGGAGTTTGATGGAGTTTGACTCTCACAGGGCAGGTGAGCCACGCCTGTGGGCTGGCCTGGGGTGGGGTCTGGGGAGTTAGGCTCTGGCTTGCAGGAGTGGGAGCTGCAGTCGGTCAGCCTTGCCTTTTCTCAGGCTGGTTCACCTGAAAGGTGGCTTCCCGTCTGCCATGCAGTACTGTTACGACGCCGCACTCTGATGTGACTGAATTCCCTGTTGCAGGCCTTTGAGGTCACTTAGACTGTCTTTTCTTTTTTTTGGTTGTTCAAAACATTACAATGCTCTTGTTAGACCGTCTTTTTAATCAGGGAGATGAAAAGTCATTGGTAGACTCATTTGCTTTGGATGAATGTTTTGTTTCCTTTCTTCCTGTTCTCTTTTTCTCTTAAGGATCTTGAGCCGAGGCTGTCTTTTTTGTTTTGTTTTGTAGTTGTACTTGTAGGTGGACAGCATGCCTTTATTTTGTTTACTTTTATGTGGTGCTGAAGATCTAACCCAGTGCCTCACATGTGCGAGTCAAGGGCTCTGCCACTGGCTACAGCCCCAGCCCTGAGGCTGTCTTTAGTGACAGAAATAAGGTGTCCAGAGTACGGGAGTAAAACTTGTCCACAGGCTGTTGGTTCTGTCTCCTGACCTGGCCAGTCGTGCCCTCGGCACTCCCAGTCAGCAGGATGCCCGCACACTGCCCACCTGCATGCTTATCCAAGGCCGGGCATTCTAGGAACGAGAGAGGTCCCTGCGCAGACCAGCTGTGAGCTGTGGCTCTTCAAGTAGCTTTGAGAGTCAAGGTGTGGGCGCACTTCAGGAAATGTTTGGTCATGCTTCTGAGACTGGGAGTGACCCAATTTTTTTTTTTTTTTTTTTAAGAAAGCCCCATTATGAGAAACAAAGAACTGTTATCAAAGTGTTGGGTAAACCCCACGTGGCTCATTCCAAAGGCACTACCCAGTCATTTTTCTGTTCTAGATTCTGGTGCCAAAAGTAGGCGGCACAGGCAGGCTGGCCTTCTGACACGGTTACAATGTTACTATTAAAGATTGTGTCTTTGTCTCACCTTCTGACTTGCATTTTGAGCTGGGTCTGTCCCTGAGGCCAGTGCTGAAGTGACTTGGGACCTGGACTCAGTCCTGCAGTCCTTGGGTTCCCCGTTGCTCGGCAGTAGATGAAAGCAGCAGTCGCGCCCCCTTTCTTCCAGCCGTCGTGTGTGTGCTGCGAGCCCTGGTGCTGGATGAGGTTTGGGGGATGGCCGCATGCTCCTGAGCATGTCTGTCCCTACCTTGGGAGGGGGATGCCCTGCGGTGTCTCTTGAGGCCTGGCAGGAAGAGCAGCATGACCCTCGCTGGGGGTGGCTCCCAGCAGCTCCTGGCCGCTCTTGGCTGCTTCTGGCCTGTCAGGCCCGCTGGGAGTGGCTGTGCCCAGCCCTGTGACACACTGCTGCTGCGCCAGTAGCTAGACTCAGGCCTGCCCCTCTTGGTGTGGTGGCCATGCCCTGGCCTCGTGCCAGGGCTCCCGAAGGCTGTCGTGCAGTCACTCCTCCAAACAAAGGAGCTCTTTTTTTTTTTTTTTTCCTGAAAAAGTAGCAGGACAATTTTCAGAGGCAAGGTTTGTCTCTTAGCTTGAAAAAAAATGGCTCCACAAAGCAGTGCATTGTTCTCCTAAGGCCCTGAGTGTCACCATCAGATGAAATTACAGCTCTTTCTGTCTTTTTTCCTTAATTGTAGAAGTAATATTACCTCTAATGTCTCGAAGACCTGGAGCAAAATAATTCTGTTGGTTTTGAACAGGTTTGTACTGCTGAGAGTTCTGTTGGAGGAATGCTAATTTAGAGCTCCTCTCCCCTGTGCCGTGCCTGGATTCAGCTGGGAGAAGGCAGGTCTGGGGGTGACCTCTCCCTGGAATCCAAGTCTTGGACCCTGCTGGGTTTTTTTCTGCCGCGGACCTGCGACCAGGAAGCAGGCTGTGGGCGAGGGCCTCATCCTTAGTTGTCCACGTGCTGGGTGCTCCTGAGGCAATTCCTTGGATTTCCGTGTTGGTGACGGTGAGTTGGACCCAGCTGGTCCAAGACCTCCTGAAACTGCTCTTGGCGGGCTTGATCGGTGAGGGGAGTGTCTCCTGGGCAGCTGCAGGCTGGCTCCTGCCACTCGCTCTCCTGCTGCCTCCGGACCTCCACCAAGGTGAGAGGATTTCAGGATGTGAACAGACCTCTGAGATGGCTTGGTGTGTTTCTGCCATGACGTGTGAGGAGCACGGCCCCATGGGGGTGGAATGTGTTGGTGGGGGCCGGGGCTAAAGGTCAGGTGGTCTTGCTGTGCACCCGAGGCCTGGCCTGTCGCCCTGGGTACACACGGGATCACACACCTGCTCTGTTAGAAAAAAAACACTCCTTAGGCTTGTTTAAACTTTTAAAATAGAAATAGCTTTTAAGGGCTGGGGATGTGGCTCAAGCGGTAGCGCGCTCGCCTGGCATGCGTGCGGCCCGGGTTCGATCCTCAGCACCACATACCAACAAAGATGTTGTGTCCGCCGAAAACTAAAAAAAATAAATAAATATTAAAATTCTCTCTCTCCCTCTCCCTCCCTCCCTCCCTCTCTCACTCTCTCTTTAAAAAAAAAAAAAAAAGAAATAGCTTTTAAAACATGACTCTTCACCCTCGTGGGAGTGCCGTGGCTGCACTTGGTCCTTCAGTAACCTTGTGCCACCTGCTCAGGAGCGGGTCCCTAGGCCCTGCAGCGCTGGTGGTGCTTCTCTTCCGGGCCGTTGTGAGGCAGTGCTTGCCTGGCGGCTGCCTTCCTGATGTGAAGATGGCTGCACTCTGTCTAGGTGCTCACCCTCAGGTCCCGTCAGCTGAAGGGGACCCTGGGACACACTGGCCACCCACAGAAAGGAGCAGTTCCTCCTCCTCCTCTTTCTGGGCACTTGTGGGTGGAAACCCGTCCTTCCCTCACTTCTCAAGTGCGGTGGCCATTGCGGAGTATACTTTGAGGTTCTGTCTACGGTTCCTTTCTTCCAGGGGCCCCGAAGACACCTGTTTTGAGTTTGGTGTTTTTCCTGCCATCTTGAGTTTCCCACTTGACTACCCACTGAGTCCTCCCAAGATGAGGTTCACCTGCGAGATGTTCCATCCCAACAGTGAGTACTGCTGCAAGCAGTTTGGGTCCACGCCACTCTGAAAGAACTCCCCAGGAGGAGTCCCCAGCGTCACGTGCTGCTGCTCGCAATGCTGGGGACTGACCCTAGGGCCGTGGGCATGCTGGACACGTACTCTGCCGCTGAGCTACACTACTTCCCCAGTAATCATTCATTATTTTTAATGTTCAGATAATTAATAAACATCTTTTAAATTTTGACATACCATAAAATGGACATTTTTATTTTGCAAAAATAATTTTTGAGAACTTTTCTATAGGTCCATATATATATTAAGACTGGTCATTTAGTAAAAACTGTAAGAAATAATTCAACCTCAACATGGTGGTGCATGCCTATAATTTTAGCAGTTTAGGAGGCTGAGTCAGGAAAATTGCAAGTTCAAGGCCAGCCTCAGCAACTTAGTGAGACTCTGTCTCAAAAAATAAAAAGAATGATAAAAAAGGCTCAGTGGTAAAATGCCCCTAGGTTAAATCCCCAGTTGCCTCTCACTTCTCTCCCCCCAAAATAATAATGCTGCACATTTGTAGAGTTGCTGGGTGTCATGGTGAGTGTGACAGCCCTGATGTGGGGGAGTCACTGTTGAACACTGAGCCACAAAGGAAGGGCCTAGCACCGTGGAGGTGTGAGCTGACCACCTGTGGGCGTGAAGCAGGAGTTGCCAGCCACCCGGGTGGGTCTGATGTGGGGGCCCAGGGTCAAAGGTAGACCCGAGCAAGGGGAGGAAGGCAGGCTGAGTCAGGGCCTGCCTGTGGTGTGAAAGTGGAGGCTTATCCTAGGGCCTTTGGAGGGAGGGAGCTTGACCTATGTAGTGACACCCGGAGGGCTACTCTGGTATTGTAGAGCGGGCTACTCTGGTATTGTAGAGCGAGCCTGGGAGGAGCTTGGGCCTTGTCCCTGCAGGGGAGGGGGAGGGTAGCCAGCAGCTTGGCGTTGAAGCTGTAGAGACTTGGCAGATTCACAAGAGACTTGAGGACTGTGCCTGATAGAACTGAGTGAGAGAGCACTGGTGGGTGGGGGACACTTGAGTTTTGGTCTTTCTGGGGTGCAGTGTTGCCACGTGACATGAGGAGGTGACGTTGGGGTTGAAAACTTCTGATGTCTGTGGTCCTTCTACTGTGGCGAGAGAGGTTCTGTATCCAGATTCTCTGTTTGTGGACTACAAGTGGACATCCTGGGGCCCAGGACCAGTGTGCACCTTGTTTTTCAGACCCTTCTTGAACAAAAGTCAGTGATGTAGTTCCTTAATATTAGAAGGAGTTACTGCAGTGCTGTTCTTTTTCTGGGTACTTAAGTAATCCCAGTTCCTTTATCCTAGCCACATGAGTGTGTATTTTATGGTCACATCCAGGGATTTCCTGGTAAAATTAGGAATGTCCATGAAACCTGGCTCTCAAGAATATTGTGAGTAACCCTGATCATGTTCGATATGTTGGTGAAATACATAGCAGATTGCCTCTCGCTCACTCCTCTTGAAGATCATTCCTAAAGACATCCTAAGAAAGTAGGCTCCTGCTGTGGCTGGTTAGGCAGGCTGGCTGGCCCAGAGCTCCGTCAGCACACAACAGGGCCTTGGGAGGCCCAGCCCCTGGCTCTCAGGCCCTGTGCCCTCTAGCTATGCGCGTGGTGCTGTGTGTGTCCGCAGCCTTGCCCTCTGTACCCACGAGCCCGCCTCATTCAGCGCCCCCTCAGTCGCTGCTCCCTGCGCTCACCTGCCATCCTGCCCCTTGCAGTCTACCCAGATGGCAGAGTCTGTATCTCCATCCTTCATGCGCCAGGCGATGACCCCATGGGCTACGAGAGCAGTGCTGAGAGGTGGAGCCCTGTGCAGAGTGTGGAGAAGATCCTGTTGTCAGTGGTGAGCATGCTGGCAGGTAAGACACCGAGCCATGGGCCTGTGCGGCGCCGTCTTCCTGAGAGCCACTCACAAACACTGAGCAGTCTGCCCTACTCTGGGTAGTTGGCTTGTACCTGCGTTTTACACTTAGTGTAGCTCGTCTGCACTTTTCAAGCTGAGGGCATATTTTCCCTGTCGTGAGTCTTAAAGGCAGTCTGGTGTCTTAGAGTGTGTTGACCATGACTAGCCATCCTCTACACCTGGGGTGTCTTGTTCTCAGTGTGCATTTACTGGGGTTCTCGTGTATGTCACACTGCACTGGGTCTGCAGAGCTCAGTGTGTCAGAGACCCAGCTTCAAGGTCCCATATCCTAGGGCAACTTCTTCAACCCACAGTCACGGGCTAACGTGGCAAATCCTGATAAGCAGATGCACGCTGGGGCTTTTGGACCACTTCCCAAGATGAGGAAGGAAGGAGGGAAAGTGTTTGGGGCCAAGGAAGCAGCCGGGCTGAGGCTGGAGGTGGTGGGAGCCAAGGCTGGGGAGGGAGGGGCCCTGCAGAAGTGAGCAGGGTGGCTGGCAGCTCTGGGAATGGCAGTGGGTGTCATGTCCTTGAGTGGTGCCTTAAAAAGACATGCCTACAGCGGCTGGCAGATGATGTGCTGGATCAGGAGCAGAGCCGAGGGGGTTGCGGGTCTTTGCAGCCCTCAGTGGTCTCCGGAGGGTAGGTGGGCTCAAGAGGGCCTGGCTGTGCGGGCTTCGGGCTTGGTCTCAGTGGTGTGCACAGACTTGTTTCCAGTGTGAACATGGGTATTGTACCATCTCAGTCAGGAATAGAGAGGGGGGAGGATTCTGGCAAGAGGAGAATTTGGGGTGTGTGGGATAAGGGCCCCTGTCCCTCTAAAGGAACCACCCAGACACTGGTGGTGGGAGCTGCCGATCCCAGGGCCTGGTGTGGGAGTCATGTGCCTCCAGGCCAGGCAGGTTGCTCCTGACCAGTTCTCAGCCTCCTTCAGGTGCCAGGGCCCTTGCTGAAGCCACAGACCTTCTTTCAGGGGCCCGCGTTTTCAGGTGACATGGTGGCTTCTGCTCCTGTGTGCGGTGATGGTCTCTCTTTTCTTTCAGAGCCCAACGATGAAAGTGGAGCTAATGTGGATGCTTCCAAGATGTGGCGGGACGACCGGGAGCAGTTTTACAGGATTGCCAGGCAGATCGTGCAGAAGTCTCTGGGGCTCTGAGGCTGTGCTTCTGCGGACGGCAGGATGGCAGGACAGCACGGCGTAGTTCCAGTGCTGCCCTCAGGACACTCAGTGACAGTGCTGCCCATGCTGCCACCAAAACAGGCAAGCTTGCAGAACCACAGCGCTTCTTGTTTCTTAACCTTTCCACCCCAAACAGGCTGCTCTTCTGGAGTCATGACCTGCATAGTGTAAGGACAGCTTTGCGGTTTCCAAGTGCTCCTCCCCATGGGGGGTTCAGGAAGGGCACCAGGCTGTCGTACCTCCCAGCCACCCTCAGTCCACATTCCCTCCCGCACCTGCCCCGGCACTGAGGGCCCGGGCAGACCACCTGCCTTGTGCAAAGGCATGGGGCCTGTGGCAACCCTGGGGAAGGGGCTGGCACACTTTGTACCCCACCCCCAGTTCCACCTGCCCTGTGAGGCGTCCATGACGTCTCATCTGTGTTCTACAAGCAGAGGTTGTAACAGCCTAGGTAGAGCCTCTTCATTTGTTGTGCATTACAATCACACTTAGAAATATTTCTGGGGATGCTTTGCAAACAGTCAGTGAGAAATGGGGACACAGAACAGAAGATTATTGCTGGCCATGAAGACCAGTGGCTTTCCTGCTTGCAGTTTTAGGAGACTAGCATTCTGTCGCCATTGCTTGTGCACTGCCAGAGCAGGCAAGGGGAGGTCTTCAAAGTTTTACTGACATTTTCTCCTGAGTCCTGCAGGGGGTTTTCTTTTCTAGACTATAAGCTGGGTCACTCCAGGGCTCTGCACCATGGTGTGGTTGTGCCAGGACTATTCTTTGCCCTTGGGGTCAGATGGGACTCTATTATTAGTTGGCACAGAGTGCAGAGGTGTGCCTTTCCCCCGCAAAATGGACCTGGGCTGCAGCTCCAGCCCCAGGAGGAGGGAGCACTCCTTGGCAGTCTGTGACTTTGATGCTGCCTAGGTGTCTCTGACAGCAGAGAGCTGGGCAGCACAGTACCTGGAGGGGACACCACAAGCAATAACACACAGATCTGTTGTGTGGGGATGCCAAACAGGTTGCATTTCCCCAGGAGTCTGTTTTTTAAAATAGGAGATGGCCGGTGTGACATGCAACAGATCTCCCTTCACACTAGCCTCTTCACTTCCCTTCGCGAGTGTGCCCGTCTCTCACCAAAACTCACTTTTCATGGTGTTAACAATTCCTAGTGCAGGGCCTCCTTGTTGAGCTTCTGTGGAGGCCAGTTTTGTTCCTTCTCAGAAACGTTTAATGAGTAAACATTAAATGTCTGAAATTCTGTAGGAGGACTTGAGTTTGGAAGGGTGGGAGGCAGGGTGCTGCATAGTGTTTGCAGGCATGAGCGAGATGCAGCCTCCTGGAGTAGGAAGCGGTGGCCTTGTGGGAGGCTGCTGGCCTGCTTCAAGACCACGGGGACACAGTCACCTGTAGGTGTCCATGGGAGGTGGGGAGGAGTGGCAGTCTCTTTACAAAACATAGTATTTTTATTAATTTGTATTTATTGAGTGAAAAATGAAAAACAAAACGGTGTCCCTTTTTTTGTGGTGGGATTGAACTACCATGTTAAAAAATAAAGTTCTGTATTTCCCCTTCTTCCACAGTGTGGTTTTCTTTGTGGCATGCTGGCTGGACCCCTGGCAGCTGCGGTTCCCCAGGCAGTGCACAGCCCGACTGCAGGCATCGCCCACCGCAGGGGTGCTCTGCTGCCGACTTGGCTTAGCCCTGGGAAATTGCATTTGCTTTACGTCTTATGTCTGGTGTCCACTCCTCCATTCTCTGTGTTGTCCCTCTGGAGCCCCCAGAGTTCTTGCTTGGGGTCTGTGACAGGCTACAGGAGACGGAGCTGCATTTTGCATTTCCGAGTAGTGGGGGTAGGCAGCAGTTGTACGAGGGTCTGGTCACCAGCAGACTGCAGCAGGATGTGTGGATGGCCCAGCACTGCAGTGGAGTGTGTCTAAACCATGTTTAATGTGCTGCTCTGGTTTTCTGCAGTGGCCTGGTATGTCTTGGTCCTGTGTCCCCCTCGGTTGTGCCCGTCTGGTTCCTGGGAGAGTGCTGCTGGGTGGCAGTGGGAGTGCCAGGGTTGCAGCTTCTGGGTGTGGGGGCTTTGCACCTTTCTGGGGATTGGTAGCTCACACTCACCGTTTGAGCCCCGGTCTGGCCCTGGGCAGCGGCGGCTCCTGCTCCCCTGGCTGTGGCTCACAGCTGCCCCGCCGTGGGTGCATGGGGCCCCACAGCTGCCCAAGCCCATGTGCAGCCGGGGAAGCCCGGTAGACTGCTGGGAGGGGCCTGGCTGGCACGCCACAGGGTGGGGTTGGTTCAGGATGCCTGCCTGGAGGGAATGGAGAGACGAGCAGCCCGGGTGTGAGGTGTAGTTGGGGCTGGCCCTAGTGGCCTGGAGAGGGGGGGCATCCCTGGTCGGCCTTCCAGGACCCTCACGTGCGGGGTGGTGATCCTGTCAGAGGTGAGTGGTGTTGGACATGGGTCCTGCCTGTGCTGAGTGGAAGCTGAAGACGTGTGTGTGGATTGTGTCCCCCATAACAGGCAGGGCTGTACCAAGGGGACCAGCGTGCACCGTCCTGCAGAGGTAAGGTCCCTCTGCTGCTGAGCCACTCAGCTGCCTGCAGCCTGTGTCCCTCCTGCCAGGATCTCATGACCCCACCTCTGTCCCAGGACCCTGTGCCCACGGCCATGTGGTTCTATCATGCTGGCTAACCGGTGTCCAGGACAAGAGATGACCCTGTGGGGGTCCATGTTCCTTGCTGCCCCTCCTCTGGCGTCACAGGCCTCTTCCCTGAGCCACAGGAAGTCATACCCCCTCGGAAGGCCATATGCCTCCCTTCCCACACTTGCCAGCCTACATCCAGGGCCCTCTGGAGTCAGAAGTCCCCCAGGGCCAAGGGAATGTGGACATTTCCGCCCCACCTGCTTCTGTATGGACTTACTCACCCAGCTCTGCACCCCTTGTGCAGTCCAGACCAGATCCATCCTCGGAGACCAGCTCCTGCCACCAGCCACCTGCTGCCTGAGAACTCCACACCCTGTGCTCACCTCAGCTCCTGGGCCCTTCTACCACTGCTGGAGAAAGCTTGCCTCACCTGCCTGGCACTGGGAGCCTGCAGCCTGGGGGTTCCTCGGGAGGCCCCATCCTCACTCCTGTAGGTTGGAGATGATGTGCCCTGGGCCTGGCTGCTGCCTGATTGTGGGTGTAGGCAGCAGTAGTACGAGGGGTTCTGATCACCCGAGTCTGGTGTCTCCCCCTTGGGCCCTGCTGCCAGCACTTACTCAGCTCCGCAAACCTCTTGTCTGGGCCACAGAGTAGCCATACCAGCCCTGTGCTGAGGCGGGAGCAGGGCTGGTGCTTGGGGATGGGGACTGAGCAGCCTGCCAGCGGCAGCCCTGCGGCCTGGGCTCTCTCTGCCCGGGAGAGCATGCACACCTGCAGCAGCTTTGCTACTACTCCTGCGGGAGCTGGCTTTCCAGAGGCAGAAGCAGGGTGCACACAGAGTCGCGAGACACAGGCTGGGCTTCATGTGGCCTCCCGTGTGGCATCCTCTGTCCTGTGATGGCTGAAGGACAGGACTGAGCACAGAGCTGCTCTGTGCTGTGGGCACCCTTCACCAGCCCCAGAAGTGGATGTCTCCTGTGTGCAGTTATTCGATTCTACCAGGTGGTTCTCTTTAAAGCTCTTTTCCTTGAGCCTCCGATTTAGGATGGAGGTGAGGGCAAGCGTCGCACGTTCCCCTTGGCCAGGCCAGTGGAACAGGGTGCGCCCAGTGCTGAGCTTTGTCTCTGGACTGTATTGCCCTCTCCCTGGGCGATCCATGCAGGGTGGAGGCAGTGAATGGTAGGGTGGACTGTCCTGGGGGTTGGGTGCCTGGAAAGGTAGGCTGTAAACCACAGGGTGCCACCTGGGCAAGTGGAGCGGGCTGGTCAGCATCGGGGCATGGCACCTGCTGCTACACTTCTGAGAGTGCTGCTGCACCAGCCCCTGACCCGTGCCTGGCAAGCTAGTGTGCTACAAGTGCTGGCTGGCACAGGCCCTGCACTGAGTGGCCCCACTTGCTGCTGCCCAGCTGGCGTTGGTCTGGATGAGGCAGGGCTTCAACTAAGGGTTGCATCCAGATCTGGGGAGCCCCAGGCCTGCCTTTAGCCGAGCCTGGTGCCTGAGGAGCACGTGGCTTGTGACCTAGCCCAGTGAGTGCCCTGCGGCCCTATAAGCCGCACAGAACACTTCAGGTCTGTCCTGCAGGGCTACAGAGATGGGCGTGAGGTGGACCTGCTTGGGGTGTCAAGACAGAAGGAAGGACAGATGCACTTCCTGGTCCTGCTACAGCGGGCAGAGGCCTGATGTAGCCTGTTGCTGGTGCCCCTGGGCTGTTGGCTCTCTGGGCCTTTGGTGTCTAACCTGAGAAACGGGTCTGAAGGCAGAAACATCCAGTCCTGCATAGTGATCACCAGGTCAGAGAACCTGTGCCCTCTCTGCCCTGGTCAGCTGGGAGGGGACAGCTGGCTCTTTTCTCAGAGCCCTCCTGTTGGCCCCCCAGGGGGCAGTGGGCATGAGTGTTTGGGTAGGCGTCAGGGAGCGTTGTGACTGATGGACGGCACCAGCGTCCCTGAGGCTTGTCAGCAGCAGTCAGCAAGGAGTCCCTAGTGCTGCTCCATCCAAGCCTGTCCAAAGGGGAGCTGCCCTGTGTGGGGTGGCGGAGCCTCTGCCCTGGGGGGCACCTGGGGCCTCCCAGCAGGTTCAGTTCACCCGTGCCTGTGCCTGTGAAGCTCGCCGACAGCACTGACCCAGGATACTGCTTGCTGGGAGCTGGGGAGGGGCAGTTCCTTTGAAGGTACGTGTGCGTGTGCATGCGTGCTTGTGCGTGTGTGCCTTTAGCTCTCTGGCAGAGGACCTGACGTTGGAACCGATTCAGGTGGAGACAGGAGACGTGCAGAGTTGTCCTTTGCTGATGGGTCTCTGGAATCCTGGGTAATGCACCAGGTAGTTGGAACCACATGAAACAGCTGCAGCTCATGGGCAGAGCTGACTCGGGTGCTCACGGGTTTCCCTCCTGGACCGCTTCCCATCTGCTGGAGCAGCCAGGCAGGGGTGGAGGCTGCAGCACACCCCGTCGCCTGCTCTGGGCCCTCCCAACACGGTACTCTGGGCCGGGTGTCACCGAGCACGAGTGTGGGGTGACTTGGTCATGTCCCAGGGAAGCGTTTAGCCTGCTCATTGGTGCACCTGCTGTCTCCACCTCTGTCTCCCCTCCCACACTTGGGCTGCCTGTGGCTGGCTGACTGTCCTGATGGCTGGGGAGGTGGAGTATCCACTGTAATGGCAGCTGCAGCTCCTGGGCTTGGCCTACAGATGTGGACAGTAGAGACCTGGCCAGAGTAGAGCTGGCAGGTACCCTGGCAGGTGGACCCCAGTGTGGGACACATTGCTGAGTTAGACTGTGGCAAGAACCGACTCCTGCAGCCAGACACGTAGACTTAGCTGGCAGCATGCAGTGCGCTAGGGGCCTGGCTGGGACAGAAAGGCGGAGGAGGGGTGGGGGGCGCATCTGAGGAGCTGGGGCTGCTGCCAGCTCCTGCCTTGGCCCTCCTGGACCTACAGCTTGCAGCAGGAGGTTGGGGGTCTCCTTACCTCCCCAGGTGTGTGATCTGCCTCTGTAAGTGTGGCTGTCCCTTGATGGTCGCAGGGAATGGGCTCCAGGACTGTGAATCCCTTCAGATGGCTGACCACCGTGTCAGCACAGGTAGATGCTGTGCAGGGAGTCACTCTGTGTGGTCAGGTAACGGCAAGGGATCAAAGACAGGCGCAGGGTGTTCCTCAGCGCTTTGGGTCTGGGACACGTTGGCTCCCGGGACGCGGGACCCACCGAGAGGAGGGCTAGCTCTCACGCACCCCTTCCACCGGGGTGAGTCTGGAGGCCAGGTGCACACACATCCTCAGGGAGGTGCACCTGCCACAAGCCGCCTCCAAGAGGGAGGGCTGCCGAGCGCCACCACCCTCCTGGGGCTCCTGGGCCGGTGGTCCTCCTGGAGTGGGCTCCAGGGGCAGCGTCTGCAGGTTCTGCGGGTCCGCCTTCGCCAGGCTGGCGCCCCTCCCTCCTCACACTCGTGTGTGCACCAGCCTGCCACACCTGCGCCTGCTTCCCACCCCGACTGGAACCTCGCGTGGCTCTGGCTCCTCTTCCTGCGTGCTTGACTCGAGCGCCAGCTTGAAACGCCAGGCTCTTCTGCCTCAGCGGGAGTTGTCTTCCCAGGAGCCAAGGAGGAAGGCCCATAGGGTGAGTCTGCCCGCCCCGTGCTATTTCTGGGCCTGCGCTGGCGTCCTCTGGTCCAGGTGCCCAGTGCTGCTCACCCAGCAGCCCTCACCCACCCTGGCCCCTGTAGATGGAGCCTGCGACATGTAGACTTAGCTGGCGGCATGTCCAGGCTTGAGTGTCCAGCAATAGTTGCCTGGCACAGCAGCAGAGGCAGTGTGTGTCTCGGCTTTGTGGTGATCCCCTAGCTAGAGCCAGGGTGTCCCTTTTATAATTGGAAAAGCAAACCCAGGACGAGAACGCTGGCTCCAGCCATCACTGCCTTCGCAGGTACAGGGCTGACCTCATTGGGGGTCATTCGCTCAGCATGCTGGGATGGGGTTGAGGCCTCCTGTCGCTCCTGCTCAGAGTCACTGCAGTGACCAGAAGGGTCTCTAAAGAAGGATGTGAGCATAAACCCAGTTTTAAAGCTACCGTGGGCTGATTTCACAGCAGCCTTGCCCCACCTGTGGCCTGGCTCAGAGGACATTCCCACACAGCCTTGATGTTCTGTCTCTCTGCAGAGCAAGCAGGACAGAGCCCCGTGGTGGGTGCTTGGAGCTGGGACAAGTCCTGCTGGAGGAGGGGCTGGCCAGCAAGCTCTGGGTGGGAGGGCATCCTGTCTCATAGCTGCAGGCCCTGGAGGGCAGGGTGGGTGACAATGCTGGCTGCTGTGACGCACCAGGGTGAGGGACCCTGGGCAGCTGGGCTTCGAGCAGGGCTGTGGGGCAAGTGCAGAGCCCGCCTGCTGTGGTCAGCATGTTCCGACTGGCTGTGCCAGCTGTGCACAGTTGGGAGCCCTCACTCCCAAGGCCCGCTGGACCTCCTCATCTGTCTGCCAACATGATAACCTGGTGAGCAGGGTGGCAGGAGGAGGCCCCAGGCTGGGGGCACAGCAGGGAGGGCCGAGGCCTCAGTGGACGGGGCCTGGTGAATTCCTGGGCAGGAGTGGAGCAGGTTCTGGAGTGAGGGTGGGGTTCAGGGAGGCAGGGTCTTCTGAACCCAGCCTGGTGGGGCTGAGGCCGGCTCTGCAGCCCAGGGTCCAGATTTGCCTTCTGAGAGGTTCACCGTTAGCTGTTGGAGAAAGGGATTGCGGGCAGGAGATCCGGAGAAGGGGCTGAGCGGGGAGCAAGCTGCCTCGCGGGAAGGTTCTCAGGGCCACTCATCTGATGAGCGCCGCACGCATCCTGCACCTGGGGAGGGCAAGGGTGCCGGGCCGGTGGGCACACTGCAGTCTGTGGACCCAGAGTAGCGGCATCTGGAGGCCCCTTGTGACCAGGCCCCCGGCTGCTCACAGAAGCCTCCAGTGGGGCAGAGGCCTCCAGCCCCTGCCACCTCTGTGCCACACCCGCAGGCTGGCATCCGGTCTATCAGATAGTGTTGTGCTTACCCAGCAGCGCGCAATGGGGCCAGCTTCAAGTATTTTCATGTACCCTCGAGACAATGATTAAAAAGTAATTAACCTAAATTTAGCGTGATTGTCATAAATAAATTAGCCACATGAATCATCTGTGATCTGCCAGCCTACACATGCTTGGCTCCCAGGTGAGCGTCACCACGGGGGAGAGCGGGTCCTGCGGCCCCCACCGCGAGGCTGAGGACGATGCCCTTGCACAGGCCTGCCACAGTCACATCCAGGCCGAGAGGGGGGCACTGTGCTGGCTGCACACTGCCCGGGAGCAGAGCCGCCTGGACCTCAAGCATTGGCGCCCCTCCCGCCCCCGTGCTCAGGGGGTGGTGGGCGATCTCCACCATCAGGCTGCAGGACTGCCAGCCTCGGGAAGGGCCTGGTGGGCTTCCAGGCCACGGGGCTGGTGCTGCAGTCAGATTCTGCCGACCTGCAGAGGGCATTTTGGGGGCCTGGGAGAGGCAGGTCTCTTTGGGGCGAGCGGGGGTGGTCAGGTTCCCTTCCAGTACTGCACCAGCCTGACTCCTGGTCCGCAGAGTCTGCCGTGGCCTGTCCTTGCTGGTTCTCGGCTGGCTCTCTGCCGCCCGCCCACTGCGAGCCCTGCCAAGCCGTCTCCCCTGGTTCTCCTGGAGCCTCTTTCTGCTCCCTGTCCTGAACCTCTCAGTGCTGGCCCAGCTGGTACTGTCCCCTCCTGGGGTCCCTCTCACTGCCCAACCTTCCTGTCTGCTCCCCTACCTGCATCATGGCAGTGGCCTCTGGTGACAACAGATGACCAAACTGAGGAAACCTTGACCCCTACTGAAAGTACGTGTGGTCATTCTGGGAAAGTTGGATAAGATCAGCCAGAGCAGGGGCTGAGGCAGACCTATGAGGGTCAGCAGGGGCAGTTCCTGGTGCCTGGTGCCTGAGCCTGGTCTGTGCACAAGTGATGTCCGGTACAAGGCACGGCACTCCCTGCCATTGCCCCAGGCAGCTGAGGCTTTCCACAGTGATGGATGCCTGTGACCAGCTGCCGAGGGTCCCTCGCTCCAAGAGCTGCCAGGTCCCTGAGCCCAGACGGCAGGGCTCCTCAGCATGGGCGCTGGTCCTAAGGCACCACACAGATGTCTGGTATCTTCTCCCACTGCAGAGCCACTGGGCTGTCGGCTCCCCCGGGGAACACAGGACTGCTCCCACAGACACCATGGCCAACAGCTTCCTGGGAGTGTTCTTGGTTGCTCCCACAGCTGGCTGGACAGTCAGCAGGGGCAAAGGAGGCAGAGGCCCCATCGCAGGCCAACAGATGAACCTCCTGAGAAATGTGTCAGCTGGCGTGAGGCTGGCCAGCCTCCGTGGGGTCTGGTGCTCTGCAAGGCAGGTCCTGGGTACTCTGGGCCTCTCCGCACTAGGACGTGCCTCCTCCTCCAGGGTGACCTAACCCTCCTAGCCTTTGATTTTTTGCAGAACCTTCCCAGAACCTGGTAGCAACATCCTCCCCCTCTTTCCTATCACTCCAATCCTGTCTATTTTTCAATGGATTAAAAAAAAGTAATTTGAAGTTTGATTGAGACGTCTTAAGGAAATTATAAAGAAGGCCAAGATTTTTTTTTTTTTTTTTTGGTTGTTGATGGACCTTTGTTTTATTTATCTCTATGTGGTGCTGGGAGTTGAACCCAGTGCCTCACACATGCCAGGCAAGCGCTCCAGCCCTGAGCCCAGCCCAGCCCATGGCATTCTGTTTTTTCTTGCAGTGCTGGGGATGGAATCCAGGGACACTCTTCCACTGAGCTCTATCCCCAACCTTTTTTATTTTTTATTTTAAGACAGGTTCTCACTAAGTTACCAAGGCTGGCCTTGAACTTGGGATCCTCCTGCCTCCACCACCTTAGTAGCTGGGATGACAGGTGTGTGCCACTGTGCCTGGCATGGTGGTGTTCCTAATTCATAAAAAAGATCCTATAGAAGTGTCCTCCTGATTCTGCAGGACCCAGCCTGGGAGCCTTGCTGCCCCAGGTCTTCGCACTGGCCGGTCCCTCTGCCTGGCCACCCTCACCTTCTCCAGGTCTCCTTTCCCTTCAGTGTTGGGGTGGACCCAGGGCCTCACATGCTGGGGAGGGCTCCATACCGCCCAGCCCCGCGACCCGCCTCTGTCTGGTTCCTCCCGACCCCACCCACTGTACGGAGGCAGCATGTGCCCTGGCACAAAGCACATCCCATGAACATTTCTGGAAGGCCCCTGCTTACCAGCAGCTGCTGAGGGGTCCGCGGCTGTGGACGGGCAGTGGTCTGGTGGCCTGCAAGTCCCCGCTGCGGTCAGGTTCCTGCCGCTCCTCTGGAGAGGCGCTGGTTGTCTTCAGCTGCTTCAGGGATTCCTCTCTGACCTCTGTTCTCTGTAGTCGCGAGGGTGACTGTGGATTACTCAGCTTAGTTTTGCTGGATGGAATCTGTAGATCCGATTTGGTCAATCTGGGGACATTCCCAGCTGCTATGTCCAGATGTCCTTTCGGTTTCCTTTCCCTGTCTTTCTGGACCCTGAGTCTGTTGGAGCTCCCCACCGCGTCCTCTAGGATCCTCGCTCTTTCCTCCTTCCTTGCCTCTTCCTGGGTACAGGTGGTTCTGTTTTCATTGTATCTATTCTCTTTTGTGCTGTGACTTAAGTTTGTTAAATCCATCTGTTGAGTAGTTGATCACGGTTACTGTGCTAGGCAGATGATGGGCCCCAAAGATGTCTGTGTCCTAAATTAGACATCTGTGCATATGTTATCTGATGTGGCAAAAGGGACTTTGCAAGTACAGTTAAGAATCTAGAGCTCGGGAGGCTGAGGCAGGAGAATCCTGAGTTCAAAGCCAGCCTCAGCAATGGTGAGGCGCTAAGCACTCAGTGAGACCCTGTCTCTAAATAAAATACAAAACAGGGCTGGTCAAGTGCCCCTGAGTTCAATCCCTGGTACCCCCTGTCCCCCCCCCCCAAAAAAAAAAAATCCAGAGATGGGAAAATTTTCCTGTGCCATCCAGGTGCGCCCACCCGGACGAGCGAAGAGAAGAATGGCTAGTGACAGCCAGGGAGGAGCGCAGCCCCTCGAAGCCGGGAAGGTAGGAAAACAGGTCTCCCTTGAACACCCCAGAAGGAGCAGCTCCGTGGACACTTGACGTTAGTGCCACAAGCTGGCCCCTGACCTCTGGAGCTGCCGGGGTGGCTGCCTGTTCTGAGCCTCTGTCGTGAGTCCGTTGTGGCAGCAGTAGCAAACCGACAGTTACAGTCACTTTCAGTTGTTGTTTCTTTGTGGTGTTTTAGAAGCATGTAAACTTCACATTTTTTTAACTGATTTTCAACTTCCAGAATCCTCAAGCTTTTCTAGATTCTTACATCTGTACGTGGTCATTCCCCGTCTGAAGTCTTTGGAGACCGTTTCCGGTTGTTGGCGCTGGTTTTTGTTCATGGGTCCTTGGCTTGTGTGCCTGGTTCCTTTCAATCCTGGGCACTGTGTTAAAATACACTCCTAGAAAATCACTTGAGGCTGAAGATGTTATTTTCTTCCAGATTAGATTTTAAAAACTGCCTCTGCTAGGTGCTTGCAGCCACTAGTATATGGAGATTGCCTTGAAGTAATTTCTGGGCTTGGTATTTGGGGGCCACGGGGTGACTGTTGGCCACGCTGTGGCTGTGCAGGGTGGGCTGGCCTCCCCCCTGGACTGGGGCAGGAGTACTCTCAGGGAGTCCGTCCCTTTTGGGCACTGCTGGCTCCTCTTCTCTGCCTTTGGGGAGACTCGGCCTCTGAGCAGCCTCCTGCCATTGTGAGGCCCCCTGAGCAACGGACGTTGTGGGCTCAGGTCGGGTCCTGTCTTCTCCTGGGCTTGCCCGCGGGGTACACTGATGGCATTCTGCAGGCGTGTCCGGCTCTGTCAGTAGTCTCCCCTCCGCCACAGAGGTGACCTTCACCCCACCTCCTGGTTTTCTAAGTCCAGGGTGGTCTTCCTCTCTGAACTGTACGCATACCCATTTTTCCATGGTGATTTTCTGCACTGGGGATTCCCTAATCACCCTGCTGACTGCAGACAGCTTCTCTGAGAAGCTCTAGTGGTTTTTAAAAATCAAAGTGTGGGCTGAACCTCCGTAAGTGCCCTCTTTCTGAAGCCATGGGCATCTTGTCCCCGACACCTGGCAGGTGCCTGGAGATGGGCTGAGCACTAGAACTCTGGGGTCAGGCGGCCTGGGTCTGACCTGGGTCTGGACACGGGCTCTGTAACAGGACGACATGTGGCTTGACGGAGCCTGGCCCAAGCTGTTTGGCAGGCACGCTCCATCCTCCTTCCTCCTCTGGGTGCCTCCTGCTAGGCCAGGCTCTGCCCCTGAGCCACGCCCCCGGCCCTTTCTGTTTTGAGAGGGGCTGGCTTGGTTGCTGGGGTTGGCCTGGGGCTGGGGACCCTCTTGCCTCTGCCTCCTGCGTGGCCTGGACGAGGTGTGCCACCGCCCACTGGCACACTCACTCTTTCCAGCGTGCTTGTCGGCACCGTCACTGTCCCAGGCAGGGGGTGAGCAGGCCCCTGGGGGTCCTGAGGTTGGGGTTCCTTGACCAGTGTCCCCTCCTAAGGGGACCACCACAGTGAACACATAGAGCCGGCCACAGATGCCCAGGGCAGGGAGGGGACCAGGGCTGCAGGGAGCCACTGGCAGTAAAAGTGCAGGATCCTCTCAGGGGAGCTCTTTCATCTTTTACGGGTGTAGACACAGGTCGAGACCCGTCGTGGGCTGCCTCATTAGCGGTGGCTCCGCTGCTCCGTGTCTCACACTTGAAACCCCCGGAGTCACACTCGGAACATGTCCAGCTTCCTCCCCTTCAGCCACCTGCAGATGCAATCAGTGGCTGATCTGGCTCCTATCTGGACCCATCTGCTCCGTTCAAAGCATGGGCTCCCCAGGTAATTACCTGTGGCGGAGGTGACTCAGCCTCAGGCTCTAACGAGGCTGCTGCCCTTGCTGGTTAGGACGCACATGCCACACACAAGCAGACACATACACGCACCTACAGACATGCAGACATGCACACTCCCACCACACGGACACACACATGTACACCTAC